TTTAATAGATGAATGGATCAAGAAAATGTGGTATATAAACACAGTGGAATTCTATGCCTCCCTCAGAAAGAGTGACATTGCCCCATTTGTTAGGAAATGGAAAGACTTGGAAAAAATTATATTAAGTGAAGTAAGCCAAGCCCAAAGAAACATAGGTCCCATGGTTTCCCTTATTTGCAATATCTAGTATATGTATGAGTCAAGCAGAAAAGGTCAGATAAAGTGATGTTCGGAAAATGAACCCTAAGATATGTATTTAAATGTTTTTCTTCTTTCATGCATTTGTTTCTAACACATTCATAAGATTATTTCTTTGTTGCTTTGTATGTCCCTCCCCCACATTATAACCCCTGCTTTCACTGTATTTGATGTTGGTATAATTTGTGGAGGGGAAGGGGAAAACAAGTCGTTTAAATCAGGGTACAGGTGGACCCATTACAGCAATGTGAAGTACAAGTTGTCATGTGGAAAACAAACTTTACAACTTTGGTGGGGTGGGGTGTGGGGAGCAGAAGGAGACTTGGAAGGGATGTAAAGGGCAAACAAAAGAGGGTGCTACAATGCTTGATAAGAAATGTATTCATTATCTTGCCCACGTAATTGTAACCCCTCTCTACAATATGTTCACAATAAAAAAAAAAAAAAAAGAAAATAGCAGAGAGGATCTTTGTTCTCACATTTCATCCAGATCTGGTGATATATGAGCAAAAATTCGGAGTGTGTTACATCCAAAGAATGAGCTTTCATTATATACCTATATTATCAACTGAGTTCTGAGTTGTGTCTGATACTTTTTTGTATTAAGAGGTATACAATGATAGATGGAGAAATAGAGACAGAGAAATATAGCTAGTGAGCGAGCGAGCGAGCAAGAGAGAGAGACAGATAGTTAAAGGAGGGAAAAAACTGAATTGTCCTCAACATTGCCCCATACCTGTATCAGAAATAGTAAAGTTTAAACTCACAACATAGCAAACACTCATTCTGTTTTTGTATATGATAATTGTATAATGATAATCACTTAGAATCTGATATAAACATGATAAGCCAACACACAGGCCAGCAGTTTTCTACTAGCATCAGGCTTTCTCCATACACACAACTCAGTCATACTTTCTGTACACAGTCAGAGTTCCCAAGGGGTTTTAGGGTCTGCACAATTTAGGATGATTAGGAAGCAATGTGAAGGGAGGAAAAAATGTAGGGAAGGGGAAATAGACAGTAAAGACCATACAACAAGCAGTGTGTGCTCAGTAGCAATCTAGATTCATATTTTCAATGCTTATCTTTCCATGGGTGATTGATACCTAGTACTAATACTCTTCCTTGATACTAATCAGAGGTACCAAGCAACAATTTCCAGTAGCCATGTATAAATATATATGTACATGCATGTATATATATATATATATATATATATATATATATACCCTAATCAGAAGTGAATGCAAACACTACATAACAGTATATCATAAACACACAATTATTATAAAGATAGACTTTTGTTAGATGTATTTTCCCATCAGCTGAATAATGGAAGTGTTCAGAGACATGTAAGGGAGTGTGGGAACCTAAAATTGTTCTGCAGGGTATTTGTAATAGATGTATTTTTTTTTGTCAATTGTGGGGCATGATCTCGGTCTGGGTGCTCTCCCTCAGCTGTTCAGCTCAAGGCTAGCCCTCTACCACTTTATCCACAGTGCCACTTCGGTTTTCTAATTGGTTTATTGGAGATAAGAGTCTCAAAGACTTTCATGCCTGGGCTGGCTTTGAACCATGATTCTCAGATCTGAGCCTCTTGAGTAGCTAACATTACAGGCAATTCAGGCCATTGTAATACAAGCCACTGGCGCCCAGCTTGTATTATATGCATTTTTGACTAATAATATATCCAACCTACAATGGATTTATCTAGATGTAATGATAATATTTAGCATATTTTTCACTTTATGCTTGAATTTTTTTAAAACCTTGTAATCAACATTCTTAATAACATCTTAATAGACTCTATATATGTTTCTGTATATGTATTTTTCAAGTGTATGAAAATAGGTGAAGAATTCCTCCTTAAGTTGATGACCACTCACAGTGGGCATCATTCCCAACGTTGGCTTCTTTTTAAATTAATGGCAATTTATTTTTATGAGTTCATCTATTTCCTGATTTCTCAGATTTCTTTGAAAAGTTGCTTATGTCAAATCTTTAATACATTGGGAACTGATTTCCTCCTCACAATGGCAAATTGTGTCTTTCCATTATGTTTTTCTCCATTTTTCACAAAATTTATAAGTACTACTTATCTTTTAAAAATATTTATTTTATTGTTAAGGTGAATTACAGAGGGATTATAATTATATGAATCAGATGAGTACAGTGATAATGGATAATGAGATAATTTTGTACTAAGTCTTTTGTTCCCTCACTCTCTCCCAGTCCCGCCCTCATGTCTCCACCTATGAAATATATAAACTTGTGTAGTTCACTTCCATGCATGTCCAGTGAGCACCACTGCTGCCGCTGTTCACAATTATTACCTCTAATTCTATTCAATTCAGTTTTCCCTCAACACTCCTGAGCATATACACTTCAATTCACCTTAGATGAATAAAACAGAATCATCAAAAATTAAAAGAAGAAAGACAGATCACTTTTTCTGTATCATTGAGTTCATTTAGATATATATGAATATATACATATAATTTTATATAAATATGAAGAGGCATGTAGACATTCTGCCTAATTGTTTATCTCCTAAGAGTATTCTCTTTTGGTCTGATTTTGTGTAGTTATTTAGAATCCTGTATGATTTATCATATCCCAATTCTGTCTTTTCTTAAACCATCTATACCTAGATTTCTCTTGGGCTCTGACTTAGACCAAACCACGCTGTCCTCATTTTGACCATTCTTTCCAGCAGGTGGCAGGATTTACACACCAGTATCCAGTGAAGAACATTACGGGTAGGGATGGCAACCTTGTAACAATAGGCTCTTGATATATTTAGCTAGGGATTTCTCCAGGCCCTTCAACTGCAGACCTCTGGAACACCAGAGTCAGCCTGTGGAAGTTGGAGATAGTAGAAATTCATTCTCTTCACAGGTAGAAAAAGCTCTAACATGCCTCTGGCCCAATGCAATTTTTCTGGTTCGGAGGATGAGCTCTCAGTCTGCCTTGCTCTCCTCAATACCTGTTATAGACAACTTCTCTGACCTGGTCTAGCTTTGAGATTGCTAATATTCACAGACAGAAAGGAAGAGTCTGGGTATCATCCTATTTATTTACAAATGGTGAGAACATAATGAAGACCCAGAGAAGATATCATAACACTGGAAGCCCAATGAAAAAGAAACGACATGATATATAAAGCCATTGTCTCAATGTCCTTTCTCTTACTCACTGATTTGGTTCAGATCACTTTCCACATGAGACTACATGCTTCTTAATTATTAGTGTTCCACGCTAGGAAGCAGATTTTGGATAAATTAATTGCCTTGCTTTTTTGAATTATTGTATGTCATCGTAAGATTATTAAACATAGCATGTACATTGATAACATGTGGTCTTAAGCCCAAGATTGAAACGTCTATCTGGAGATCATGGCATATCACAAATACTGAGGTAATTTTGGTCTTTTCTGGTAGCAACTATCTTTTGTTTCAGCCTCTTAGCCATCAAACCACGGGACATGGCTTACTTAGGACATTGTTATAATTGCTTCCCTTGCTTTAAGTGTTTATATAATTTACATAGTAAAGCCAAATAAGGGAAAGTTTGCCTCAGCTTTATACCCGATCTTAAGGAGAATCCACATTTCTAGGGGTGGGGCGGGGTTGGTCTAGGGGATTGGCCTAGGTGCTATCCCTGAGCTCCTCAGCTCAAGGCTAGTGCATTACTAGTTGAGCCACAGTGCCACTTCCATTCTTCTGGCGGTTAATTGGCGATAGGATTCTCACCGAATTTCCTGTCCAGACTAAGTATTAACCACAATCCTCAGATCTCAGCCTCTTGAGTAGCTAGGATTACAGGTGTTAGCCATCGGGGCCCAGTGAGAATCCACATTTTATTTTATGGTTATATGTGTGTTTTGGAACAGACTGAGACATAAAAACAGCTTATATCTCTTGCTATGGTAGTGAGAATGTTCCAATGCATAAAGATATTAAGCCAGTTTAAAATGTCCAGAAACTCTATTCTCTCCACATCTTCACTTCCTCCATATACCTATATAAAACACTCATTTTGCCTTTATCTTATCCCTTTCTAGAGTCATTACAGAGAATTGAGATTAGGACACACAGGAAAATCAGGTCCTCATCCCTGCAGGCACCAGTAGATCTACATGAAGGACAGCAGACTGATTGTGACTTGTCCTGTTTGAATGAATCATATTCTCTAGTCTAAGACTAAGACACATGGGCACGATGGACCTATGATGATTTCCTGAGATGAACCAGCCTTACAGCTATATCCATGTTTGCCCAGCCCTCCTGATTTGCATTTGCCTAGACCACATCCTACTGCAACACTGACTTCATAATAAGCTGCTCACACCCTGTGCAGCATTCAGTCCCAGTCAGCACACAGCATGAACACGAGGACCACTGCTCAGCTCCTGGGGCTCCTGCTGCTTTGCCTCCCAGGTAAGGAAGGATAATACTTCTCTCACCCTGTGTGGTCAGTGATGCCTGTGGCTTCAGGGAAGTCCTGTAATAACATGACTAATAATGTGGATATTTGCTTTTATGTTTCCAATTCCAGGTGCCTGATGTGACATCAAGATGACCCAGTCTCTTTCCTCCCTGTTTGTGTCTCCAGGAGACACAATCACCATCTCCTTCAGAGCCAGTCAGGGTATTAGCAGGGTATTAAACTGGTATCAGCAGATACCAGGGAATTCCCCAAAGCTCCTGATCTATTACACTTCAAATTTGGCCTCTGGGGTCCCAACCAGATTTAGTGGCAGTAGATCTGGGACAGATTATTCTCTCACCATCAGCAACCTGAAGCCTGAAGATTTTGGCACTTATTACTGTCAACAGCATGTTTGTTACCCTCCCACAGTGATACAAGCCATTATCAAAACCTCCCAGGAAAGCAGAAGTGAGATGTTGGCCTGCTCTAGCTGCTTTGCCTAGTTCCTCTACCTGTTGACACTGCTGCTCAGATGCAGCCAAACTCTAAAGGAAGAATTCTCTGCAATCTAGCATTCTGTTCTTCTTAGCCCCAGCAAAATACCTTGGTACTGAGTATAATTTAATAGTTGAAACCAATTGTTACTTATGAGGAGTGCCCATCAATTATTTTGGAAATTCCACTTCATTAAATTATAAAATAGGGCATTTTCAATTAGTTTCTACATAGAACCTAAAACACCTGCTCAAATAAAAATGATCTTTTTGAGGTTTTCTGAATTGATGTATTAAAGAATCTACAACACAGTTTATATTGGCCACTGATCTTCTGCAAGTCAGTGTCTTCCTTTCCTCTCCAAGTACAACTGTGTTAAGTGATATTTCAATTTTTTACTTCACAAATATCCAGCTTACAGAACAAAACATTTCTATAGATGGTCCTTCAAATGTTATAAATGTCCTAACCCCTGCCTCATTCAAGCCAGGCTGGATCAGAAGCTTAGGAGCTTTACTACTTTTCGTTGATGTCAATATACCAGCTTGTATCCATCTGACTCAGGAATCAACTGCATGGATAATAAAGGCCTCCAGTTCCATTGGCAAGTCCATCCTCTTCAACTTAATTTCCATTTGTTACAAAAGGTGTATACTACTGTTCCTAAGGAGAAACATAAAATACAAGAGCCAGATAATCTCAAAGACAAGGAAGAAATAAGATAGTATAAAAAAAAAAGTGAACACACTTTTTGAGAGTTAGTGTTTCAATAAGCTCATGCAGGCTCTGAAGTGTATGCTCAGAATTATGAATGTAAAAGTATGAATTAAGAGGCCTCACATTATAGCACAATTCTCAGTCCAATTTCTTTGTAATTAATAATGGCCTGTGAAAAGAAGATAAAGATGAGTTCTGACACAATGGCCTTCTATTGGCATCCTCACAGAGCCAAAGACCTGGAGGGAGAAGGAAACTGGACCAGCACCACATCAGCAGTGTTGAGCTTGGGTTCAGAGTACTTCAGAAGAGAGGACTAATTTGGTGCCCTCTCCCATGGCTCAATATAGCAGAATCAAAGGTACAAACCCTTGTGAGGAAAAATCTCATTCCACAGCCCCCATTCACCTATAAAAGGTTTTAGAATTTTAAAAAATGTAATTCATATAAATGTAAAGCTTATGAAATGTGCTTTATTTTATGTCAATATTCTTTTAAACAATATGCTTTCAATGCAAATTCAAAAAGAGAAGCAGACAAAAAGTTCCATTTAAAACTACACAGATTCTTGCAATAATAGGATGTGATTTGTTTAATACATTAGTGACAAAGTAGAGAATATATTTATTTTGTTGAAGCTTCCTGACTCCTCCCCATCAGTCATTTCTCATCCATTTTTATTTTTCAGACAGGTAGCATCCTTATACCTTAATTGGGCTGGCAATGCACTTTCAACTTCAGACTTTGTATTCTCATAATATGAAAGAATGAGTTTGGATCTTTTCACAAATATTCACTGAAACTTAAAATCCAGGATGAACTTGGGTTAAGAAGGGTTCAAGATTTCCCTTTCTTCCATAATCATAAACCAGGCACCACTTTGAGCCCCACCTATTATAAACAGATATAAGTTAAGATCTAGCTAGACTTAAAAGAGAGGTTTCTACTGCAGTCCTAATTTCTTTATGAATTGTACAGTTAATAGATGTTTACAAATATCACTGGGATTGCAAAGAGACTCTCTCTAGAAAGCTCTTGAGAATGTACAAGGCCATTAAGATATTAGAGAAGAATCAGGTCTTGAGACAAGTTCTACAAACACCCACAGGCAAACCTGAACAGTAGTTAGAGACACATTCACCGAATCTAAACCGCAGGTCACATGGATTCCCCAGAGCTCTGAATCTTCCTCCCCAGGGAGGAGACCAGAACACAGTTCCCTGGGACTATGCAACCTGTCCTTAGTCCTGTTTCAATCAGATTCCATATTCCAATGGATGAAAGTCATTGATCTTCAAATTAACAGAACTTATTTTCCTTTTTTGTTATTATTAATTTTTTTTTATTGTGAAAATACCATACAGAGAGGTTACAATTACATGAGCATGGTAATGAGTATATTTCTTATCAAGCATTGTTGCCTCCTCCTTTCTTTCCCCTTCCCATCCTTTCGCATCTACCCCCTGCCCCCCTCCTACCCTCCCCCTCATCCAAAGTTGTAAAGTTCATCTTTCAACATAATGTCTTATACATCTGGTTGTTTCAATGGGTCCACCTGTATCCCCATTTAAACAATTTGTTATTTACCTTCCCCTCCACAAATTATACCAACATCAAAAACTGAAAACTTGGGTTATACCATGGGGGAGGGACATATAAAAAACAAAGAAATCATCTTATAAATATGTTAGAAACAAAAGAAAGAAAAACCATTTGAGTCCTTATCATGGGGTTCATTGCGCTTAATATCAACTTATCTGACAATTTCTGCTTGTCTCAGACATATACTAATAATTGCAAATAAAGGAAACCATGGCACATATGTTTCTTTGGGCCTGGCTTACATCACTTAATATATTATTTTCCAAGTCTTTCTATTTCCTAACGAATGGGGCAATGTCATTCTTTCTGATGGAGGCATAGAATTCCATAGTGTGTATATACTACATTTTCTTGATCCATTCATCTATTGAGGGGCATCCATACCTTAGCTATGGTAAATAACGCTGCAATAAACATAGTTGTGCTGGTAGCTTTAGTATGGACTTGTTTGTGATCATTTGGTAAATGCCCAAAAGTGGGATTGCTGGGTTATAGGGGAGCTCTCTGTGGAGTCTTTTGAGGAACCTCCATACTACTTTCCAAAGTGGTTGAACAAGTTTACACTCCCACCAACAATGAAGTAAGGTTCTCTTTTGTCCACATCCCCTCCAGCATCTGGTGTTGTTAGAGTTCTTGATTATAACCATTCTAACTGGGTTGAGGTGGTATCTCAATATTGTTTAGATTTGCACTTCTTTTATGGCTAGAGAGGTTGAACATTTCTTAATGTGTCTATTGGCTATCCTTGTTTCCTCTTCAGAAAAGTTTCTCTTTAAGTCTTTAGCCCACTTATTTACTGGGCAGTTGTTTCTTTGAAAATTTGTTGTTGGGAGGATTTAATTTTTAGAGTTCCAAGTGTATTTTAGATATGAGACCCTTTTCTGTTGTATGGCTAGAGAAGATCTTCTCCCAATTCATGGGCTTTCTATTGATCTTGCCTGCTATATCTTTACCATCCAGAAGCTCTGCAATTTCATACAATTCCATTTGTCCAACCATTCTTTGATATGTTGTGTTTCTGGGTCTTTATAAGAAAATTTCGGGGTGTGCCAAAGAAATCTAGGGTTTCTCCTATTCCATCCTGTATTCTTTTCAGAGTGTTTGCTTTGACTTCCAGGTCTTTAATCCATTTGGAGTTGATTCTGGTACAAGGTGATATATAAGGATCTAGCTTTGGTTTTCTACAAGTGATTAACCATTTTTGCCAGCAGCATTTACTGAAGAGGCTCTCTTTCTTCCATTCTATTTTTTTAGCTACCTTATTAAAGATTACATGGCTATAGGTCTGTGGATTCATTTCTGGGTTTTCAATTCTATTCCATTAGTCTTGAGGACTGTTCATGTGTCAGTACCAAGCTATTTTGATTACTATGGTTTTGTAGTAGAGTTTGAAATTTGGTATTGATATTTCTCCAGCACTGTTCTTTCTGTTAAGGATCATTTTTGCTATTCGGGGTCTTTTTTTGTTCCATATGAATTTTTGGATTGCCTCTTCTATTTCCTTGAAGAATGAGGTTGGAATATCGATAGGTGTTGCATTCAATTTGTAGATAGTGTTGGGAAGTATTGCCATTTTCAAGATGTTGATCCTTCCTATCCAAGAGCATGGGAGGTTTTTCCACTTTCTAAGTTCTGTTTTAATTTCCTTTCCCAGGTTTTTAAAGTTTTCATCATAGAGGTCCTTCACTTCTTTGGTTAAATTAATTCCAAGTATTTTATGATTTGTGAGGTTATGATGAATGGAGTTGCTTTCCTGATTTCAGCCACACTTTTTTCATTGTTGGTGTGCAGGAAAGCCATTGATTTTTGAGGGTTAATTATATACCCTGCTACTTTCCCAAAGTTTTGAATCAGCTTGAGTATTTTGGAAGTGAAATCTGTGGGATTCTTTAATAAAGTTCGTTTTTCTACGTAACGCCTTGTACATGTCATTGTTGCAATGGGTCATTTTACTGGCTTGAGAAGAGATCAAGAGTCTCTCTCTGTGTCTATGTTTATCTCTCTTTTTCTGTGTCTCTCTCTTTTTCTCATAGAGATGCAACTGGATATACTAGTTATCTGTTAAGGGATGATGTTTCCCCTCGTTGGGAAAGGATAAGACAGAGGCATGTATGGTTGGGTAACAGTGATTTTTGTTGAAGTAATCATGTCCAGCATCAACACTTATCACTTCATGCTGATGAACAGTGAAAAGTATTATCAGATGGCACAAAAGTAGCAAAATATGAGAGGTCTCAATATAGGAAAAGTACTGATAGAAGATACCTAATGTTTCAATGGGGGCAAATTTATGAGTCATCCAGAAATCAGAATAAACATGTGTCTACAAAATATGCTTCAACTATATCATCATGATCATCATCAAAATACTGTAAAATACCTTTCAATATATTCAGTATGTTTCATACTATCTTTTTACTTAAAGAAATTAAATGGCTGGGCACCTGTGCCTCACACGTGTAATCCTAGTTACTCAGTAAGCTGAGATGCAAGGATTGACATTTGAAACCAGCCCAGGCAAGAAAGTCCATGAGGCTACTATTCAACTGTGTGCATCAGGGAAGTTGGTCTGTAGTTCTCTTTTTTGTTGGGGTTTCGCTTGATTTGGGGATGAGTTTGGGAT